TAAGTTTGCAAAAACGCTTTGTGGCATTCAAAATTTGCATTATATTAACGTATGGGCTGTCATCGAAATCCATACGATCACGTATATACAAACCTGTTATATATTGTTAATATCTTCAAGTTTCGCTAATTTTTTTAATTATTTTTTTTTAATTGGTAAAATACTTTTTTAAACCTAAATCTAAGGAAAAAAAAATTAAAAAAAAATCATTTATGGTGATAACTACCATCATAATATTAGTTATTATTATTATTGTTTTTTTCATTGCAAATATTGTAAGCATACTTTTTTATTACTATAATTTGTATTATTATTATTATTTTTTTATCTTATATTAGTATAATATATTATTATTGCTATTATTTTTGCTATTATTATTATTATTACTATTACGGTGCAATACCATAATTTATTTTACTTACACTATTTTCATTAAAAAAAAAAAGACATAGGATTTTAAGGAGTCTGGAGTTAAATTTTTTTTAAATTTAAACAAAATTAAAGCGTTTTTCGACGTCAACGATACCTGTACACCGCCCGTTTTTTTTAAGTTTGAACTCAAATATTTAAAACCGTAGTAAAAAAGTTATAAAAATAGAATTGAAAATAATATATAGATTGTTCTTGTAGCATTAGTTATATGATAAATAAAGATTATTAGCATATATTTTTTTGGTTATGTTGATAAATATAATTTATTTTCAACGCTTTTACTTAATCGGCTTTCTTAAACATGCTTAAACTTTGTTTAAAGTGTTATTTTGAAACGTTTAAAAGTCCGTTTAAAGTGGACTTATTTACGTTTAAAACGTCACTTAAAATGGACTTACTTAACTGTTAAAAATGTGGCTTAAAGTGAGCTTATTAAAAACATTTAAAACTGGATTTATTTACATTGAAACGCTTAAAACCTCGCTTGGAATGGACTTACTTAATTTGTTTGAAACTTAAATTAAAGTGAGCTTATTTAAAACATTTGAAACTTCGCTTAAAGTGGATTTATTTAAAATATGTTTGAAATTTCGCTTTAAATGGATTTATACAAAACATGTTGAAAAGTTTGCTTTAAATGGACTTTAAATTAAGTGTAAAAATAATGTGTAAGGGTTGCTTTAAACTTAGTTTTACAAATTATTTTATTGCTTTCTTACAGATAAACAAATTTAACTTTACCTTGGTTAATAAATTCTTTTAATTTAACTTATAATAATTTTTTTTTTTTTGAACAAAATCTATGCGTTAGCGACCTCATTAATTGCATTTTTTATGTTATATCTGTAGAAAGAAATATTTAACATTTCATTTAAGTTTGGTTAGTATAAGGTGTATGATGTCTTATAGAACTAAAAAACTCGATTAAATATTGTAAAGATTTATACACAAAACCTAGTCTCAAAATGTAGATCCACTTTAAGTGTTTTTTTGTACAGTGACGAAATATACATGGTCAAAATAACAAACACTTAAACTCAAAATTATGCTTTTAAAACAAAACTTCCTATCCGCAAACCTTTATAGAAGCAATAGTCCGATTAGAAAAACTTGCTATTAACTTTTCAACAGCTATAACTTAGTCTAAAAACTAATCAAAAACGTAAAGTGGACTCAAAAAAGTCCACTTTAAGTAAAAGTCCACTTTAAGTTGAGTTTTTACTAATGAAAAGGCCACTTTAAGTCGATCTAACAAAAATATATATATATATATATATATATATATATATATATATATATATATATATATATATATATATATATATATATATATATATATATATATATATATATATATATATATATATATATATATATATATATATATATATATATATATATATATATATATATATATATATATATGTACGTCATATTATTTGTTTATTTATTTATTTGAGTTTTTTCATGCTAAATTTTTCTATACAATGTTCTTAAATACGAAGATATTGTTGGCTTAGCATAGAAACAGCCACAAATAGTCATTAAGACCAAGGACGTATTAATAGATGGAAGTTTAACGTATTGTTTAAAAGCAAAGATATCCGCGCTATTCATTGTTACAAATAACAATAGCAAAACAATAGAGAACTATTTTTAACTTGAGAATATTTTTACTTGATTTTACGTCAAAATAATGATAGTCTCGTCTAGCCTTAGAAATATTTAAACATTCCATTACACCTAAAAAATCTAAAAAGTTTTTAAATAAATAAAACCTTTTCATTATATGATCTATGAACTCAAGCGAAATCTTTACATGGAAAAAAAAAGTTAATCACAGAAAAAGATTAAAACAAAATTGTAAGTAAGACAAAATTTCCGACAAAAATGAGAAATTTAAATACTTAAAATAATAGTGAAAACTAAGTGTAGGGAATAGAGACCACAAGTAATCTATAGTTCGATCTATATATGATCTACAGTTTTACCTAGAACATCAAGAAAATTCGTTTCACTTTGCAGTATTTATTCTTGCAAACTAAATATCACTTTTTTACAAAAATATGATTTTTGACGTCTAAGTTTTATTAATAATAAGTTCTTATTAAAAAGCGCTCACGTATCAAATTTGACATTTTAAAACAGATGAGCTATTTCTGTATAACTATTATGCATTAATTCTTTCAAAAAGTTAGAGTTTTGTAGGTAATTATACTTTTTAAAAAAAGTAGTTAAAAAAACGAAGTTATCGGAAAAACGTCGGTTTACTTTTACAAATTATTCAGAAAAATGACGCTAAAAATTATAGCTCGCATTACTTGCGGCACCTCAGATCTATATGAATGGGTTAAACGTCCATCTATTAATACGTCCTTGTTAAGACTAATCCAAAGTAGCGTCCGTTATTGACCAACATTTTGGCGTACCGAAGCGCTGAGTTGGCGGTGGCGGTATTTGAACTCGTATCGTTTTGTAATTTTAAATGTTACTCAATTCTTTATTGAGTATAAATTGAATTAAGCTGGAATGACCCTTATGTTATTGTAAATATTTCCTTTCCAGAATACTCCTAAATCTTTAGACTATTCCACTATATCCTTCAGAATTGCTTTACCCCTCAATAAAAACATAGTTAGTCAAACAACCAAACAAATTATATATTGCTATCTCTATAACAGTAGTAGAGAAACATCTATTGTAGTGTCAGCTAAAAATACTTTAAACTTTAACTTTCTTTGATTGTCTTTTTTATTTAATCTATACAGAAATAAAAGTAATAGTAAATAAACGAAGTTATCAACAGTGCATAGTTAACATAAACAATTGCAAATGAAGGTGTATATAATATATAGCTCTTCATTAGCATGTTTTCATCTAATTGACTTATATAAAACTTTTACATAAAAATAATAATGTTTGAATGATAAAAGCAGATATGTAATTATTAACATGCTGAAATTATAATTAAAAACAAGAATAATAAGGATTTTCCAAACGTTCCGTACAGAATTACATGATTCATTTAATTTTACAATTGATTTTGTCATCAAATTTAAATGAAAAAAATAACAAGTGTACTTGATTTTCTTGACAAATAGGTTATCCTTGAAAAAAACAGATACAATAAAACAGATATATTTTACAAAGAAACACTAATGACTACATAAACTTCAACAATCATCATTTGTATCATATAAAAAAAAACACAGTGTAAATAATCAGTTTTATGTTTAATTGCTACAGAAAAAACATGTTTAGCAGAACTAAAATTATGATTAAAAGAGTGTCATCACCCTGATTATGTAATAGCAAAATCATTTCATAACGCAAATTTGCAAGGGCCAGCACCTATAAAACAATCAAAAGATGTTTTTCTTTTGGTTTGACTACTTTCTATAATAATTTAAATTGTCAACCAATTTTTACAACTAACCTTTTACTAATAATAAAATAAAAGATAATGATCTGATAATGATCTGATAATAAAAGAGTAAAATAATTTTTTTAAGTATTCAATTAATAATTCCCTATAAAATGGCGCCACCAAACATACTGAGACAAATAATATGATCAAAATTTCACTTTACCTCATCTATCAAAAAAATGTGACTATTCAAATGCTAAAACAGTCAATATAAAATATGCTAATTGTATTGACGATAAATAAATAAGTTTAAGACATCCAATGGCACTATTTAGAACATTCAAATCACATTACTTGTAATAGCAAAAATGGCATTTATTATCTAAAATGTTTATCATAGTCTATTTACTTATACTGGGAAAAAAACAGTTTAAAAAACCACACAAATAAACATATTTCCAGTTGCAGAACTGGCAATTCAACAGATAGATTCAACAATCATGTACTTAATTGCTAGAAAATACACAAGGAAACTGTGGAGCCATACTTTCAGCTTTTTATTTTTCTTATGCTGAAAAATGAAAACAAGTTGTTGACCTATGACAATTAGATACAAAAACATAGCACTTTCAATAAGTACCTCCTCTTATAATAACAGTACAATAGTAACTCATAGTTGCAACACTGCAATTAAATAATTCTAATATATAACTTTTTAATGTATCAAAATCATGATTATATTTGCATTAGAACTACTAATATATATATATATATATATATATATATATATATATATATATATATATATATATATATATATATATATATATATATATATATATATTATATATATATATATATATATATATATATATATATATATATATATATATATATATATATATATATATATATATATATATATATATATATATATTATATAGCTTGTAATTTTATATTGAACAATATGAACAAAAAAAGTAACCAAGCGAAACAACAATATTTAAAAATAAATGAATTTTTTTAAAAAGTTTCTTTTGTTTGATATATATATATATTATATATATATATATATATATATATATATATATATATATATATATATATATATTCACAGTTTCGAATAGTTTATGTATTGATTTTTATCTTGTTATTATTGTTGTTATAGCTGTTAAAATCATTATTATATTTTGATTTATAG